GGAGGCGGCGGCGGCGGCGGCGGCGGAAGCGACGACGACGACGACGACGACGACGACGACGACGACGACGACGGCGACGACAACGGCGGCAGCGGCAGCGGCGGAAACGTCGACGACGACGACGACGACGACGACGACGACGACGACGACGACGACGACGACGACGACGACGACGACGACGACGGCGGCGGCGGCGGCGGCGGCGGCGGCGGCGGCGGCGGCGGCGGCGGCGGCGGAAGCGACGACGACGGCGGCGTCGACGGCGACGACGACGACGACGACGACGACAACAGCGGCATCGTCGGAAGCGACGACGACGACAGCGACGACGACGGCAGCGGCGGCGGCGGCGTCCCTCGATTCGCGCAGGCGCGGCCACGAGTTGTTCCAACTTTCCCTGGAGATCTCCGGATATTACCTCGATGTATCGGCATCTATCTTGATTTACGCGGCTTGATCCCCAGAAGTCAACACTTTAGAGACGACGCCCCACCGAGGGCCAGGCAGGAGAACTCTGGTCGTCCCCACGCGCGGCCGCACGAGGGTCGTCCGACAGAGCCCCGCCGGATCCAACAGGAGCCCTCGAAAGTGGCGACGGTCTCGCAGATCGCAGCCCCACAAGGATGGCGAGGTCGAATCTGAGCCTGCGTGGCACGTCACTCCGCTTGACTCCCCAGCAGCCCTCGAAAACGGCGTCCGCCACGCAGATCGCAGCCACACAAGGATGGCGAGGTCGAATCTGAATCTGCGTAGCGCGTCACTCCGCTGGACCACCCAGCTGCCCTCGAAAGCGGTGACGGTTTCGCAGATCGCAGCCCCACAAGGATGGCGAGGTCGAATATGAGTCCTCGTGGCACGTCACTCCGCTGGACCCCCCAGCAGCCCTCGAATGCGGCGACAATTTCGCATATCGTAGCCCCCATAAGGATGGCGAGGTAGGAGACGGGCTGGCACGCGGAAAAGGAACGGGTAAGAGGCAGGAGGAAGGAGGCAGGAGGCGGGAAGGAAAGAAGGAAGGAGGTGTGCGACCGCAGTGCTCTATTCAAAACGAGCACCCAACGCAGGAAGCCTGTAAGCAAAAACCATAACAAAAAGAGAAAAAGAGAGAGAGAGAGAGAACAAAAAGAGAGAGAGAGAGAGAAATAAAGAAAGAAAGAGAGAGCTTAAAGAAAATATGCTAGGGATTTGTATACGGAAAAAATTATAAGAGAGAGAGAGAGAGGAAAAGAGATAAACAAGAAGAGAGAACGAACAAAGATATAGAAAGAGAGAGAGAGAGAGCGAGACAGAGGGAAAAAAATAATATAAACTTGGAACAAAGGAGGAGAGAGACAGGGATAAAAGTGCGAGAGGTAGATATAAGAAGAAAACGGAAACAAAAAAAACAAAGGAAGAAAACAGAAAAGAGGGAGGTGGGTCGAACAAATATTGTTTATTTTATGTTTAAATAATATCTTTAACAAAGAAAAAAGGAGAGAGAGAGAGAGAGGGAGAGAGAGAGACGAAAAGAGAGAGAGAGAGAGAGCGCGAGAAAGAGAGAGAGATGAGTCCTTGGACACGCCGAAGAACAAGAGCGGCTGATCCCAGAAAGTGAGACGAGCGCGCTTTTGCTGAAAGCCTGGTGATTCGGCCGCCCGGCGGTGAAACACCACCAGGCGAGAGGCAGGAGATGGCTCGGATCCGGCTTCGGATGGGGCCGCGCAAGCCGCGAGGAAGGGGGGCCAGCAGAGGCGGGCGGGCCAGTGCCAGGGGAAACCACATGGAAACGAGAAAAACCGGGGGGGCACCTGGGAGGCTCGGAAACCAACGGCCTCGCCAAAGGCCGTTCGTCGGGCGCCACGACATCCGGCCCATCGTAGGCCTCCGGAAGGGGGGGCCCGCAGCTGAGACGCCCACGGTTCCGCTCCTTTCACCTGGCTGCCCAACCTCTTCTCGAAGCCCGTCAAACGCCTCGCTTTCAAGCAGCTCGGCCCCCATCGGCTCGGATCGAACAGCGAAACGGGTTTGCTCGACGGAGCACTTGAGGGGCCTCGCCCCCACGGTTACCCACGCCGCCCCTCCCACGCCGCCGTTGGGGCCATCGGGCTGGTAGACGACAGCGCCGGAGCCCGTCCACCGATCGCGCTGCAGGGCGCGCGACCGGCTCGCGGCCGCGATTCGGCGCCAGACGCAGACCCCGTCACCCAGGCGCAACCCCGGGATCGACGCAGCGACGAGAGCGGGAGGCCTCCGCGATCTGGGAGCGGGCGGCCAGGGAAGACAGAGCTCCTCGAGCCTCCTCATCACGGCGGCGTCGAGAGAACTCCCCCGCATCCGCATCGAGATCGGCCCCGGGCCCGGCCACGTCCTCGGACCCCGCGGGGCCCGTAGGATCGTCGGAAGCACGCCGCGGAGATCTGGCGGCCCCAGTCAAAAGACGCGCCGCGAGGGGCCGAAGCTCCCCCGATAAGACCCGCGGTTCTCCCCGGGGACGCACTCGCACAAAAGGACTCCGACCTCGCCCTCGGAATTCGGGCCGGTGGCCAAGGGCGCCCTCGAAGGGGCCCCCTTAATTGACGCCCCCGCGCCTTCCGCCGCACCCGTTCTGACGCGGGCCGTCGGCGGGCGCGACGCGCCGCGCGATGCGCAGGCGCTCGCGCCCAAGCAAAAAAAGCATCACACTCGGCGCCGCCGTCGCGCACCAGCATTGCCGGGGCGCCAAGGGGACGGATCCGCCATCGCATCAGGGCAGCCCATGCGACTTCTGCCGCACGATTGGCCAGCAAAGCGCAGACCGCGATGGCGGGCCCACGCCCCATCCTCAATCAGAGGCGAGGCTCGAAATCAGCTCACTGGGGAACTCCCCCGCGGCGCTGGCCCCGGCACCGCCAAAGAGCGAGGCGCGAAACCGATCTCGGAAGCAGCGTCTTCGGCAATGGTTCAGCAGAGGGGGGGATTGGACTGGACAGCGGGCTTCTCAGCAAGGCCTTCGCCGGGCACCGCGAGCCCGCGCAAGCACTGGTCCAAAAATGCCCCGTCGACGCCGGATCGGTAGGAAATGGCCCTCATCGCCTCCAGCCCCCAGGGAGCAAGCAACGGCCCTGGGACATCGGCGACTTGCACGCACAAGTGGGAGGCCCCTTGGCCCGCGCCTCTACTAAGGTCTCCCCAACTGGATTCGCGCGCCCCCAGTCGGCGTCCCGAGGCGCGAAGAAAGCCTCGCGCATCGGGGCCATGAGCACGAAGGGGGCCGGCCCTCCTCGAGCCGTCGCCACCACTGCCTCTGTCCCCGAGCTGACAACAGATCGGCCCCGAGGAGAGGTTCCAAGGAAGGGGCGCCCCATGGCCCCGACGCTCCAGCTCGGCCGAAAAACCATCGATGGAAAAAATCTCGAGGACCGGGGCCCCGCCTCTCTTCCCACCCCGAGCCTTTACCTGGCACCGGCGGGCCCTCCGAAGCGACCTGAGCCCCGCGCCGCCCAAGAGCCGGGCGGTCGCTTGCCGAGAGCGAGGTGGAACAGACGGAGTCGCGGGTCATCCAAGGCTGCGGCAGCGAAACAAGCTTCTTCCAACACTAACTCCAGACCACCATGTTTCTCGATTCCAGCACAGACTTGATTGCCCCACCACAACGAACTCTGCCAGGGCGATCCGAGCTTTTCGCGGGCACTATCTCGAGCGCCCCAGGGGGGCGCCCAGAGCTGGGAGAAGACGGGCCCCGGAGGAGCTGGATGTCCCCACACAACGAAGAACGGAAGGAAGGAAGGGCGAAGGGGCCCAACTGCCGCGGGCCTCGAGAGCAACGCCCGCGGAGAAAAGAGGAAAAAACGACGGAAACCAAAAACCGAAACCAAGCAGAAAATGCGCGCCGCGCGGGCCGGCGCAGGGCAACCGGCTTCCATCCCAGAAGGGCACGAGGACGGGGGTGTCTAGAATCTCCCTGGACGCGGCGTTCAGAAATACCGAAGCGCCTCTGAAGGTCCTCCGAAATCCTCCCTCGCCGATGAATCGATTGAGATAGAGCCTAAGTCTTTAGCAAAAATGCTCCCCAGGGACCTGGACCTTCCCAGTTGTGCCACCTCTGCTGCAGCTGAAGGGCCCCAGTCACTCAGCCGCCGATGAGACCCTCGCTCTCCGCATCGCTGCCCCCCACCGCGGGGGCCGAGGGGGCCCTGGGGATGGCGCTCGCCGCCAACGCCCCGGCCACCGCCACCCGCCTCGCGACATCCTGCTCGGGAAGATCGGCCGGGCGGCTGGCCAAGCAATTGAAGGACTGCTCTGGCCACTGGCGCCAGTCGGCGATCATCCGCGCGAAGCTATTGAAGGCGCGCCCGTTCTGCTTGCGCTGCGATTCCACGACTGCGCTCATGTCCGCCTCAGAAGGGCCACGAGGAACGGGCGCGGAGCCCCGGCCGCCGCCGCGGCTCTGGAGGCTGCTCGGGCCGGAGGCGGAGCCTTCGGCGATAGGGCCCAGGGGTCACTGGACCCGTCGCACTCCTCGACCTTGACCTTCGACGACGTCTGCTGCCCTTCGGAACTTGGCGCGGCCCTTCCGCGTCGCCTTCTTGATATTCACCATGTCCTTCTCGGGGCGATCCTGAGCCCTCGCGGCCCTCTCCTCGTCGGCGAACGGCGCGTTGCTCTGCTTGGCGTAGCAGCCCACGCACCTCGCGCGCGCCCCGCGCTGGTCGATGCTCGCCCAGCAAGCGCGGGGAGGATGAACGCAGACGCCGGGGCCACCCCTCTCCGCGACGGCCGAGGGCATCATCCACGAGGTCAGGAGGGCGGACGCACGATCCGCACAACCACATCGCGCGAAGAACCATGCGCCACCACCGACCCCAGGCAAAGCCCCTGCCTCAATCTTCAAGGCAGCGTCCAGCTCGGAGGTGAGGAGGGGCTGAAGGTGGGGTTCTGGGCCAGGTGTGGCTGACCGAGAAAATTGCCCTGGACTTGCCCATGAAAAGCTGGCTGCCGCGTGCCAGAGCATCCTGAACTACGCAGTTTGCAATTCGTTATCCACCCGAACACTCGCGTCGCGTACCTCCGAGGTCCTCCCTGGGCCCCTGGGGGCCCTCTTACGGTCTTTCTGAAGGAGTAGTGGGGCCCGATTAGGGCTCTGGAAGGACCTTCGGCCCCCGTTGGGGCCCTCGCGGGGCTCTCCTGGAGCCCCACGAACGGCCTTGGAGAAACTCTTGGAGCCATCTGGGACACATTGCGCATCGGCCCCTGCGGAGCCGTCCGGGCCCAGAGACCGGCCTCGCGGCAACGCGCACACCGGATTCCCCCCCGACGGCGGAATTTCGTCCCCGACGGTCAAAACGCGTCGTTGTCCGTGGGAATTCAAACACCGACGGGTCGGTGGGCGCGGTCTCCGCTGTGCGTTTTTCCCTACCTAGGCTCTGCCTAGAAGGGTTCTTACTCGGTATGCTTAAAGGGCCGGGCAGTGCAACTCGCCCCAGGCGGTTCCCCCAGTATCCGCCCCGCGGTTCCCCCAGCTACGTCCCCTTAGCTTAGCGTTGCTTCTCTCATCTTAGCTTAGCTGATTTCATATTAGTTTAGCTTGACTTCATATCAGCTCATGTTATCTTAGCTTACCTTACCTTCATCTTAGCTTACCTTACCTTCATCTTAGCTCCGCTGAGCTTTAGCATAGCAGAGCACAGCATAGCACAGCATAGCGTAGCCTAGCAAAGCGCAGTATAGCATATCATAGCATAGTATAGCAGAGCATAGCATAGCGCAGCATAGCATAGCATAGCATAGCATAGCGCAGCACAGCACAGCACAGCATAGCACAGCGCAGCATAGCATAGCAACTAATGCTGCTTTCCTAGGGGCTCCAACTTCTAGGTCGGGTCGCACTGGGGTAATTCCACATGCTAGGGCCCCAACCGAAATCCCGACGGTTCGCCCTGGGGCGCCCGACGGAAACGCGCCCCGCGGAAGGCCCAGGGGGGCCCCGACGAGGCCCCGCGGGGACTCTGGGGCACTGCCCCCGACTGCCAGCAACAACAGCGGCCAACCCTCGGTGGCGCAGGAAAAACAAGCGAAGCCAAACTGCCCCTCAAGGAGGACCGCAGAAGTCACGCAGTCGCCCAAAGTGCACGGATTACCTTGTCATACTGTTTCTGAGACGCGCGCTTCGCCGATGCTGCTCCATGCGCCATGGCATCGGAGAGGGTCGATTCACTTGGCCCACGACAGATTGCAGCGCGTGACATACACACTCAAAGACCTATCTTTTGCCCCTGGCATTTGCGCCCCACACCGGCCTCGGGCGAGACCCGGCCCTTCCCCCCCCGAGCGGGGGGCCGGCGGCAGCCCCCCCCCCCCACACCTGTCTTCCACGGGTTCGTCCAGAGAGCCCGTCTGCAAGACGATCGACGCATTCGCCCGCAGAGACACCCGGTCGAACTTGACTCGGGCGGAGCGAATCGCCCACCCCTAACCCGTCTCCTTCCTCAACCCCCACGGTCGCCGAGGACTTCGGAGGCCTGCGCCCGCAGGCCATCCTGCGACTCGGCGGGGCAACTTCCTCCGACTCGAGACGGCGGCTCCAAACAACTGGGCCCCTCGCACGTCGGCGTCGACCACCTGGGCCACCCGGGAACGGATCGGGAAAGGAAAAGGGGTCAATGGGGAAAAAGACTGCGGCGGCTGGGCAGGCAGGAGCAGGCAAGGCGGCACTCAGAGGCGGGAAACTCATCCCTGCGGCCCTGCACTACGACAAGCTTGAGGGGCTACTTCTCCTGGAGCTCCGAGGCGGGCCTGCACTCGCTGACCAGGCGCTAGATCACGTCGACGGAGCGGCGCCCTGAGGAGCGCTCGAAGAGAGGCAAGCGACGGCGGCCCGCGCCTTCGGACACAATCGCGCAGTTCACGGCCAGGTCGATCACAGCTCGCAGGCACGCGAGGAACCTGGCGGGGAGGAGCGGCGGGCAGCGCCCCTCGAGAAAAAATAGCCCCACCACTACGCAGCCGCCGATCGCCACGGGGACCCAGACCCAGCCGATGACAGTCGCCCTTCCTTCAATGCCAGCGGCGGCCATGCTTGGCACGGGGGCCCACTCGGGGTGCGCCGTGAAGCCGCGGGACTCGAACACCTTGCCCAGCACGACCACGTCCTCTTCGCCGACGCGGCCCTGCGCGGCCGCGGAGCCCGCGAGAGCGCAGGAAGCCATCGGCCGGAAGGTGGCCGCGTCGAAGGCCAGGATGCAAGTGGCCGCTAACAACTCCTCGACACGGCCCGCGACGCTCATGCCCCTTGCCCCCTGGACGGCCACGGTCTCGCCCTCTCGTCGCGATGCTTGGGCCTCGGCAAGCAGCCGAGAGACAGGTGAATGGGCAACGCCACGCAAGAGAGCGACGACTCGCCCTCGCCGCCCTGGATCGAACAGAAGCAGGAGACACCAAGCCGGACATGGCATTCGCCAAGCGCTCCGTCTCCAGGCGGTCGGCCTTTGAGATGAAGGGGTTCTGGCACTCGTCAGCCCAGCGACCTTTCTCGCCACAGTTGGCGCAACGAGAACGCCGACGAAAAACTGCCACCCGTCCTCTTGAAACGGGGTCGGGAAGCCGTCTTCCCATCCAAAGTCCAGGCCCGTCATCTTCGCCAGCTTGAGACGTCTCGACTCGACCCGCGCCCACCTCTTCTAATGACCGAACTTCTGCTCGACGACAGCAGCGAAAACCTGCACGGGACCTTTCTCATCCAGATCCTGCTCCTCGATAGCCGCCAGGAAGCGTTGGCATTCGCTCCGGGCATCTCAACTTCGCCGTCGAAAACCTCGTCGACTGGAGCAGGAGGGGAGGGAACCGAAACTGCATCGGCATCACTTCCGAGAGCGGCCTTTACGATCGGGGCGGGGCCCGCTGGCAAGACCCGCCTCTCGGCCACGTCGAGCTGCAGCAGGGCCTGCCAGATCGACGCAGCGTCCGAGCGGCCGCCCGCTAGGGCACGGAGATTGGTTTTGCTCTGGGCCGAGAGACTGGCGCCGTCCTCGTAGAAGCGGGCACGGACAGCATCGGGAAGGCAAATGCCACGGAGTTCAACTTGCGCCATCTGACTATCGTGCCTGAGCACGAAGTCCGCGAGGGCCCTACCTCGCTCGATCATATCATCCAAAGAGATCGCGGTTCTGAGACAGGCGGTCACGATCACCAGGTCTCTCGCCATTCAACACACTAAAATGGCCCAACAGCTTGGAGATGCCGTCGTCCACCTCCAGGGTATTCCATATCGGCTCGAACTTCAGCTGTAGTTCGACTGGGAAGGTTTCGAGCACCCGAGCTGTCTGCACTGAGGCAACGTGTCCAATCCGACGGGACCAGGAGGTGTGATTCTGGGCATAGATCTCCCAGTGCTCGAGCCCGAACCAAGCTGGTGGAGCTCCGAAGTCAAGACTGCGTATTGTGAGGCGACAGGGGAAGAGCTCCATTGAATCCAGCGCTCCCAGGCGTCATAGTGCTGACAATCATTCCAATCATCCTGCTGCTCTGGATTTGAAGATTCAGGGGCATTGCCGGCATACCACGACTGAGAGTCCAACTGGGGTGTCCGACGATGAGCTGGCCATCCACTCCACTATGAACTCCAGGGGTCGTGCTGCCATTCTGGTTCTTTTGAATACCCTGGGCCGTGTCGGGCTGGGCGGGCGAGGGTTCGGGACGAGGCACTTCATCTGCAGGCATGCTCCTGCAGCACGAAAGATTTGTACTTCGCTCTTCACGGCCGAGGAGCACCTGCTCTCATCTCTGAAACTCTTGTCTCCTCGTCCTGCTCCTTGGGCGTGGCGATCACGCTCATCTTACCACTGTGAAAAGGTGAGGGGCACGATGGAACACAACGGAAATGGGAAAAGAGCGACCAGGAAGTTTCACTACGATGCGCGCAACTCCCCAGGACCACTCGGGCGATCGGTTCCATCCAAGCCAAACAGCTGTACACACACACACACACACAGACATACACGCACGCGGGCAAGCACAAAAAGAGGAGGGGACAGGGGAGAGAGACAACCAGTTAACTAAGGGGACCCCTGCGACTGGTAGCGGGGACACCCCCCGATCCAGGGAAGGGGAAACACCACGTTTCTCGCAACACCTCGCAACGGACAACAGCACAGCGCACATCACCCGGCACAGAATCACCACACCGCACACCCCCTCTGTCCCACTCTCCCCAATTATGCTGCAACTGCCGGGCGGGACGTGTACAAGTACGTGACACTATTAGGCGCCCTTGAGCGGGAGGGTCCAACCTTCATTGTGGCCCGCGCGCCCGCCGACATGCCGGACACGGGCCGCCTGCCATCTGGCTTGTTCGCCCACCCTCTCACCCAACCGTCTGCACAACTGAAGGAGGAGGAGAATGAAGGGAATGCGAAGGAGGAGAAGGAGGAGGAGGAGGAGTGACAGGACGAGCAGCAGGAGACGTAGGATGAAGAGGAGGACGAGGAGGGGCAGGACTATAACGACTATGTGGCGGGCAATCGGTAGGAGGAGGAGGAGGCCACTCCAGAACGCTTATAAATTTCAACTGGCCTGCCACTGCGCCATCCAATTGTGCTGATGGCGTGCACGTGTGTGTCGCTCCCTCGCGTTCCTGCGGGCCGTTTTATCGTGGGTGTATGGTGCTTGTTTCCTTGCTCACAAGAGAATGTGTGATGTCACGGCAGATACTCGTGCCTCTCAAGGCTTACCCTATCCCTGTGCATGCTGCCTGTTGCTCCCCAAGGAAGCTGCAGTATCCTTCTCTGTGCCCAAACTTTTCCACAGGCCTTCTGCGCGGTCTTACTACGTTTGGACCTTCGCTCGGTGTGATCCTCCTGGACGCGACGGGCTGGGCTACAGGGGGACGCCCTCTCCAGGAAGAAACGACGGACGCCCTAGGGGCGACCGTCTAGACTGGTGTGCGTGCTTGTGCGCGCCTGTGCGTGTGTGTTGTGTTGGGTGTGTGTGCTCGTGCGGCGCGCGCGTCTGCACTGAGCAGCCAAAATGACGGCACCGACGAGGATGCGCGCCGCAACAGGAAGCAGCTCCGCTCGAGAGGGGGCCCCGTGAGACGCACCTCGCTCAGCGCGTCCAGCGCCTGCTGGATCGACTTCGCGACGCCGTCGCGGTCGGACGCCTGCTGGGCAGAGGCGCCCGTGGGGGGAGGAGAAGGGAGAGGAGGAGGACGAGGAGGAGAAGGACGAGGACGAGGAGGAATAGGAGGAGGAGGACGAACAGGAGGAGGAAGATGAGGCAGGGGGGAATGAGGCAGGCGGAGGAGTGAGGGGGATAGGGCGGAGGGACGGTGAAGGGAAGGGGGCAGGCGAGGGAAGAGGCGGAGGAGCTGCGGCCGCAGGAGGAGGCGGAGGAAGAGG